AATCTTTTTTTACATTTCCGTTCAGTTCAGTTCAGTTCAGTCGCCCTCATCAAGGTCACCCTTCCTCCTACGTTCCAGTTTCTCAGTGGCCAGCACAGCTATAGCGTTGCCCCTTCAGACTGGCACGTGGAGACTTCCCAGAGAAGTTTGGGTCTGAGGAGAGAGGAAGGCTGAGGGAGCTCCCCGTTCAGGGAAACTGAGGTAGGCAGAAGGTGCTGAGATATCATGGAACATCTCGGAGAAGCCATCAGGAGACAATGGAGGAACTCTGGGGGCACCTGAACCTCTGTTCTGCGTCTGTATCTGTATCTGTGACTTTGTTACTTTGCAGGCGTCTTCAGAGGGAGCAGGTGTAAACTCTGAAATGGAGAAGGACCTGTGAGTCAGGTCATCTACAAGAGGTAGGAGCTGGGGAGGCTGAAACTCCTCCCAGTGAGGCACCTAAGATGATCTTGGACAGAGCTGAGGGCAGTGGGTGGAGGCCCTGGGCTCATGGGCAGGAAGAAGCATGCATAAAGATCAATTTGGGAATGAGATGAGCCTCGGGGTCCATTCCACACTGCCTACTGGGAGCTCTTGGAGGACAGAACTGGAGCTCAGTGTGGGGACCCTTTGCTGTCCCGGTGAGCTCAGCATTGAGCTTCGCCAACACTGGGTGCATGACAAACACTGCTTGACCTCAATTTCCCCTCTCCCAGTTTACTCTTATTTTAGGCTCAGATCTTCCCCCTCCAGATGGAGTTCTCCCATCTGGTTACTGAAACTGGATCAGTGGAAAGAGAAATTCTAGGATGCTGGAATTTCAGGAACGTTTCCAGGGTGCCAAGAAAAATAGCTCTGTGATGAGCCAATGCCATCAAAATGGCAGATCTGGAAATGAGATCAGATTCTGTCTGAGTCACAATCTCATAGGATCTGAGACACCGAGGTCATCCAGTCTGCTCCATGATGTTACAGATGGAGGAACTACAGCCCTGGGAAGAGTAGAGCTGGTGGTGGCAGAGATGGAACTGGAACAGAGGGTTGCAGCCATTAACCTCACTCTGATCAGATGCCAGGTCCCCGCCGCCAGGCCCTTCTAAGAGCTGTCTGACATGTGTTGCTTTGCCTTATCAGCAGGAAGAAAAGATGACAGCAGGCAGTCTTTCCTGGCCAAGCATCCATCAGGACCCACATAAATATTTTCCCAGCATCTGCATGGCCAGCATCTAGCTGGCTATGTGCCAGGGGACAGTAAATAATTTGGACGACTGGTGGCTTCCTGACAATTTTCTTGGGTGTGTTTTCTGACAACTTTGTTTTTGGGAGCAAACGCTAGGGAGACCTTGATGAGGGCGGTGAGCCAAGCGCTTACTGGACTCTCTGATGGCATTTCTGGTCAGGAAGGAAGTACCCATGGGGTCTTGATGACAACACACTTGGGGCAGAAGATAACTTTCACTCAGTCTGAAAGGCTTTCAAGTGGGGCTAGGAGTTGGTTTCAGGGTTTAGGGTGGAGTGAGGTTAGAGGCTCTGGGGCCAAAAATTCAGATGAAATCAGCTCTGTGTGGAGAATTGGGTAAGCTTGACCAAAGGCATGTGGAAGGCTTGGTGGCTAAGGCAAGGAAAATGTTAGGGCTGGCATGGCCTCAGGTCAGCAGAGTGACCAGTCTTAGAGTTCAAAGTTCAGCAGGGGGTGGGGTGTCCAGGTCCCTTCTGTTCTAGGGCCTCTGACTAGGGCCAGCAGTGGGAATGTCCAGAAAGGGTTTGGTTGTTCAGGAAGGGTTTGGTTGTCCTTGAAGTCAGATGCTGGGTGTTCTGCCTTTGTCATAGTGGGAACTGTCAGAAATTTGAGGAAATAGGAATGGAGGTGAGGGCAGGAAATATCTAGAAAGAGCGGCAGGACCAGAGAGTCTTGGGCAGATAAACCTGACAGCAGATTTAGGAAAACCAGACAAAGTCTAGATTTCAGCCTCTGATGGGAGGGGTCACTATCCCCTCTGGGTTTAGTGATGGGGCAGGTCTGAGTGTGCAGTGTGGAGGCTCTGGGTACCTGCACTAGTTCAGGGTGGGGGGAGCCAGGCTGGCACTGATGCAAAGGTCCATGTCTTCGTCACTGAAGGGAAAATATGCTGCATCTCTGATGGGTGTGAGGGGACAGAATCCCCAGTGGTTGGAAGGACCCATACAGAAAAATATCTTGTCTGAGCATCACAATGAGATTACTGGGGCCACGTGTCCCATGTTTCCTGACTTGCAGCCCTCAGCCACATGGGGCTGTCCTTGGAGCCCCTGGAGATCACAGTCGCTCTGTCTCTGGAGGAGGCAGGGAATGGGACTCTGGAGGCCCAATCTGACTCCCTCCATGTGTCTCCTGAAGATGAGGAGTGTGTGTGCTAGTCATTCGGTTGTGTCCAACTCTTAGCGATCACATGGACTCTAGCTCTTCAGGCTCCTCTGTCCATGGGACAAGGGGGGCCCTTTAGTCCCTAGCATGAGCCTATCACCAGGCATTTGACAAAAGTGTTTCCAACTGGCCTGTGGTACACTCTTTGGGGACGGGCATTCTTAAATTCACTTCATCCTCAGCTATGTTGCATTTGTCCTGATTTTGAAAGGAAATGCAGGATTGTTGAAAGACTCTGGGCACTGGAATTCAGTGGCTTGCGTTCAGGTACAGGTTGAATCAGCTGTGTACTCTGGCCTTTTCCCTAAAGTCTCAGTTAATTTGCATTTTTGCATCTTCAGTAGAAAATGCCTCTTGGGCTCAGAGTCAGCAGGTATAAATTCTGGACTTTCTGTTTTGCTCCTGGCTGACTTCTATGCACAGCTGTTTTTCTCTGGGCCTCTATCTCTATCTTGGAAGTCAGGACTGGGCAAGATGATATCTCAGGGCTCTTCAAGACTTTAAGGCATTTTATCAAGATTTTATACCCTCTAGGATGGTGGGAAATTGTTTTTCGTAGAATGTTCCTCTCTTTTGCATAAACACACAAACACTCAGATTCCCAAATGCTCACATGCAGACTCCCACAAGCACACATTCCCTCATGTGCACGGACGCGGATGTATGTTTTCACATAGACATATCCTCACCAGTATACATAAATCCTCTCGTGCACTCACCTATGCACATGCACACACTCACAGGAACTAGTCTGTCTTGCACATCACTGAATCCCCATCGCTTAGAGCAGAGGACTGATAAATCCTCAGACCATGCCAGTGGAGTGAATGAAATCATGAATTTCCCTTCCTCGCTACTGAAACACAGATATTCACACACACAACACCCACACGTACAAGCCATCATGTGCACACCCCAGGGGCCCGGACTCATGCTGACATGCCTAAGACAGGCCCAGCCTACTCACTACCACCATGTCTCCACACTGTAGATCCCCTGCAGGTCCCTTCCAGGAGCTCACTAAGGGATATCCTTTTCTCACACATCACCCTGGAGGCTCCCTTGCTGGCACCAAGTTTGGCTCTGGTGACACCCAAGGACCTTGGCCCAGGCATCAAGGATATTCCATAGCTTTCTGTGTGGACAGTGCTTTGTAAAAGTCCAGTCACTTTATCAGATCATGTCCCACTCCATCCTCTTGGCAGGCGGGATCTAGGACCTCGGAATATGGATTATCCCCCCATGTTACAGACAGGGAGACAGAGACCTAAACAGGATGGCTGTCTGCCTAAGGCCCAGAAGTCACTGAGTAAGGGAGCCCAGCTAGAAACCACGCCACCCCCTAGCCAGGACTCTCTCCATTGCCTCTCTCAGTGACTGTTTTAAGAGGATTATTTATCCTCCAGTTGTTTCCCCCTCTAATTTATTTCTTTCCTTATCTTTTTTTAAAATCCCTTGTTTCCGCCTGCAAATAGTTGGGTTTCAGGAGGGAGTGATAGAGGCCAAGTTCACCATCAGAAGTAAAATCTACAAGAAACTTTCCTTGTCTACCCCAGCCAAGATTCTTGCCAAATGTAATCAGAACTTACCACACACCTATGCATCGAACCTTCACGAAGAACCAGGTTAACCTGCATAAGGAATAAACAAGTTAATAAAGCTAACGCCTGCTTCAGAGAACAGACTAAGGCCCCCGGCCATATAATTTGCCAACTAATTAAAAACGTTATTCACACTGTTTTATGAATTTAAAAAATTTGCATCACTTTTTATTCCTTGAAAGGAATTGGGAAAGTGCTAGTCTACTGCAGTTGTCTTGGCTTTGGGATGGCTAGTGAGTGTGTGGGTGAGTCTGGACTGGTTCCTTCCCTCAAAGATGGCACTGTGAGACAGCTGGTGGCTCCATATGGGGCTTGACATATATGTCAAGTCTGATGATGCAGACTTGACAGCAGCCTGGCTGAAATTTCTCTTTCCTGACTTCAGCAGTCCTTGGGAGAGGCAGCATGGTTGGGTGACAGGACTTCTAGCTTTGAAGCCAGATGGACCTGTTTAAATCTCAGCTCTACCTTTGAATGGCCATATAACTCTAGGCAAGTCATTTAACCTTATGGGTCTCAGTTTTTCTCATCTGTGCAAATGCTAGTGATATTTCTATTTAGGCAGAACTAGCATACATAAGGAGCCCGACACATAGTAGGAACTCAATAAGTGATAGATCAGATTAGCCAACCAGGCACTTGATTCCACTCTGTCTTAGATATTCTAAGAGGAAGGTGTATGGAGCCATGGACATGTGTAGAAGACGGACACAAGAGGGCCAGGTTCCATATCTGGTTCTACAACAGATTTAAGAAGCTCTAGCTCCCCTCCGGGTCTTTGTCTCCCTATCTGACACTGTAAGGGCTCCCCAGTCCTGTGAACTGTGTGTTCACCAGGAGCTCAGACTGGATCTTTTCCTCCTATCTCTACCCTGGAATGGAATATAGGTCAGATACACAGTAGCCACTCAGTAATACCTTAGATGATAGACCTTGTCCACTGCTGATCACCCAGGCCAGGAGAAGTTGCAGAAGCAAACTCGGGTGTACTTAAGTCGAGCTACATGTGAGGGATGACAAATGCCATGTCATGTAACTGTCACATTGAACAAGTGAGTCTCATGGCATCTCACTCATGGAATAATCAAGAAACAACTTTTACTAATCATTCTGCAGGTAAGATCTCTTCCATCTCATTGGATGAAAACATGACCGTTCTGTTTTTTTCTTTGACAATACAGAATTCCCTGTTTATTTTAAGTCACAAAATATTATTTATGCTCAATAATGAACTACTATTACTACTATTTAGCAATATGAGCAGTAATAAACCTCAAACTTCACTGTTCCACTTGGACCTGGAGCTACTGCTGGTAAGTCTCCTGCAGTGAGAACAAGACTCAGTTTCTTCTTTCTTTTTCTGCCTAGAGCATTGCTTCTCCTTCTTCATCTTGCTAGCCATCATGGATTTTTGATCTCTCCATTGTTGGGGATAGAGGGAAAGAGAAGGAAATGGGGACAACAGAGTACTTACCTGACTAGTTAGTACAGACTTGAAGACCCAGGGTCAATGTTCTCTGGGCTTGGCAGACATTTAACCTTGCTTGTTCTCTCAAGGTTTGTGGGTTCTTTGGAGAAAATCCACCCCCTCCCCATACAAGTTCCTCTTTGCTGTGGGTAAATGCATTTCTATTCCAGCTGGCTACTTCCCACTCCTTCACAAGCTCTAGGTAGCTGCCAGTACCACCAACCTCTTTCTGATGAGGTCTTGCCTCCCTCTACGTGGTCCTCTGACAGGGTCCAGCTGATTTATGCCATCTCCCTCTCACTTAGTACAGATCTGGTTCAGAGAAAACACTTCGGTGTTTTCTGCCTGGTAAATTCTGAGAATGCAGGTTGCCCTCTGTACAGTCAGCTCTCTTTTCTCTGTTGTTAGAAGACCTGGCCAGTCAGCCTCTGCCCTTTAGATTCAGGTGTGGGGGTCAGATTCCAGTCCACTGTGTGCCCCAGAGAAAGGAAAATATCAAGCTCTCCAAGTATCCCATTCAAATCCACTCTTGTCAGGCTTGAGCTCTAGGAGGGAGTACAGGAAGATGCACGATGTACTCACAGCTCATTCCAGAACTCCCCTAGCTAATGCCTGCCCTGCTCTTGGCCCCTCCCTCCTTTTTTATGTGCCAGAGCTGGGTGGTCAACAAAGGACCACAAAGACAGTTTTCAACACCACCTTTTGCAGCCCTTGCTTGGTGGTCTTCCACTTCACTTGAGGATGTGTTATCCATTATCTGGGGGCCTCCCGTGAAGTCTGAACTAATGTAGTTAAGTTTGAAGATCCTCTTTCCATTTTTTTCCAAGGCAAGACTGAGATAGTGTTGCTATCTCCAGTTAATGGATGATAAAACAGGTTCAGAGAGGCCAAGAAACTAACTCTCATGTACACAACTAGTTGGAATTGAAAACTGGGATTCTAAAACCTGAGTTCTAGGACTTCCTTGGTGGTCCATGGTTCAGAATCCACCTGCCAACACATGTTTGATCTTTGGTCTGTAAAGATTTCACATGCCATGGGGCAATTAAACCTGCATGCCACAACTACTGAAGCCCGAGTGTCTAGAGGCTGTGCTCCACCAGGGATGACACTGCAATGAGAAGCCTGCATGTTTCAGCTAGAGAGTAGCCCCCACTTGCTTGCAACTAGAGACAGCCTGTAAAGAGCAGTGAAGGCAGCATAGCCAATAAATAAATCAATAAATAATTTAAAAAAATAAATAAAATCCAAATTCTTTCCTTAAGTGTTCCCTGGTGGTACAGCGGTTAGGATTCTGGGCTTTCACTATGGTGGCCTGTGTTCAATCTCTGGTCTGGGAACTAAGATCCCGCAAGCTGTGTGGTACAGACAAACAAACAAACAAAACATAAAACCTTAGTTCTTTCTGCTCTGCTATGAAGACTGAGGCTTTACCTCTGCAGCAGTTAGGGGTGACAGACATAATGTTTGACTGTGCATCTTGTGGACAGAGTGATTGGGAGCTCCAACATCAGCATCAGAATCCTCTGTGACTGTCAGCTACTTATTCATCTTAAAACATATTCCAACCCGTGAACTCATTTGATGGGAAATCATCCAGGACAAAAATCCTTCCTGACATCCAGGGGATTGCTTTGGAAGGCTCTCCTGCCCTTGACCCCAGCATTGATTCCCTCTTCCCAACTCCTCTCTAAAGTTTTTTCCTGCCCTTTCAGTTCCTCTATTATAGCGGAGAGGACTTCCATTAACATCGTCACCAACACCACATATTTCAAAAGTGTTAATTTGTTATTAGCATCTGTTTTAATCTTACTCATCTCTGTGTTTACCATAGGCAGTAAGTGTAGTCGCTCAGTCGTGTCCGAGTCTTTGCGACCCTGTGGACTGTAGCCCACCAGGCTCCTCTGTCCATGGGATTCTTCAAGCAAGAATACTGGAGTGGGTTGCCATTTCCTTCTCCAGGGGATCTAGTTCTTAATAAATACTGTTACTCAGTAGAGGGTTAGCCATTTCACTGGCTGAACACAGTTCATTTGCAAATGGGCGAGGATTAGAAGAAAGAGAAAGAGAAGGATGGAAACTGTGTACCTAATGGGGGTTGTCACATCAACCAACGATGGCTTGGCTCAGAGTCCTGACTCCCTGGGAGATCCTGGATGAATCAGCCTCTGCCAGCTTGGGTTTTCTCATCTGACTAGCGTGGGTGAGGGTCCCCATCCCCATCCTGCCAGCCTCACCGAGAGTGTAAGACAATACTCTGACGAGATCAGAGAAGTGAAAAGGGTTGAAAAAGTATCAAACGTGTGGGTTTGGTCTGGGAAAACAAAACTTCTGACTCAGCCTGGCTCTCCTCATCAGTGGGTTTTGTGTGCGTGTGTGTGTGTTTGTGTGTGTGTGTGTGTGTGTGTGTTGGCGGGGCAGGGGGCGGGGGGGATAGCAAGAACCACCCTGGCCTGTGTGAGTCAGAAATAGAGGCTTCCACTTTCTGGGATAAATTATCCACCAGGCAGAGGCGTCAGAGCTGTCTGCTCCCTGTCTGGCCTCCTCGACCATCTCACTTTATGAGACATAAATCCCCGAGACCCACCAGTCATTTTTAATCTTCATCAGTGTTTATTTTTCAGCCTTGCCCCCCTTATCCCCCCCCTATCTTAGAGGCTGCTTGCTGTTTTATGGGGTTATGGGCCAGGAGGGTAGACTTCAGCTACAAATCTCACAGCTCTGCCCGCCGAGATGGTGGGATGGAGGGAGGAAGCTATAGCTGTCTGAAGGATAATGCCCCAGGAAACCTCAGCCAGCCTGCAGGGGTTGCCCTGGGTGCCTCTGTAGGAAGGGGGCCTGGGGTCCTCTCTCCTGATGGGTGTGCTCTGGTCTCAGAGTTCAGGAACCTCCCCTGTGGAGAGGGCCGGGTGTGTACCAGACACATCTCCACCAAATCTAATGGGGTGACATTGACCAAAGGACTGATGGTCTTGGCCTCAGGTCCCTTTCCTTTAAAATAGGAAGGACCATAACTTCTTCTCCAGTGGCTCAGATGGTAAAGAACTTGCCTCAATGCAGGAGACCTGGGTTCCAACCCTGGGTCAGGAAGATCCTCTGGAGAAGGGGACAGTGACCCACTTCAGTATTCTTGCCTGGAGAATCCCATGGACAGAGGATCCTGGCAGACTACAGTTCATAGGGTTGCAAAGAGTTGGACACAACTGAGTGACTAACACATTCATACTTACTTCATAAAGTTATTGGGAGGATCAATTGCAGTAACCTAGACTGAGGTGTCTGGCACATGGCCTGGCCTACAGGAGGCATTTAGCACATATCAATTTTCTCCCCTCTTAAGTGGTTCATGATTTATTGCAAAGGAATGAGTTTATCATCTGATCTTCCTCTAAACTCTCTCAAATGTGAACTCCTTAAGTGCACGGGCTTTGGTTTGGTCACCCCATGATCCCCAGGACCTGATATAAAGCCCGACGTATTATCTGTGCTCAATAAACACTGGCTGAATGATGAATGAAACCAAGTTCTCCTGTGTGATTCTTATGGGTGCCGAGGAGCTTCCTGCAGGGGACACTGCGGCAGACATGCTCAGACGTTCAGAATGAAAGGACTTTAGGGAGACACACAGCTCAGTGTTTTCGTGGTTGAGAAGCAGACTTTAGGTTCAGGGAAGTGAAGGGACTTGCCCAGAAGCCAGCAGAAATTACAGGCAAGGTTGGGACTGGAACACAGGCCTTCTGATTTCACATCCGGGGTTCTTTGAAGTTCACTATGCTGCTGGTCATCTTTCTCAGATAGAAGAGACAGGGAGAGAACCAAGTGAAAGAAAAATGTAAGGAAAAGGAGAGTTAATGGAAAGAAAGTCTTCCCTGGTGACTCGGATGGTAAAGAATTTGCCTTCTAGGCAGGACGTCTGGGTTCGATCCCTGGATTGGGAAAATCCCCTGTAGAAGGGAATGGCTCCACAAGAGTATTCTTGCCTGGAGAATTCCATGCACAGAGGAGCCTGGTGGACTGCAGTCCATGGAGTCTCAAAGAGCTGAACGTGACTGAAGGACTAATCGAGGGAGACAGAGAGAAAAAGAGAAAGAGGGAGAGAAGCTCAGGGGCTCAGGGCTGGAACTGATAAGTAATTAAATCCCAAACAGACCATGTCACATGACGGCTTGAGCACTTGTCAGCAAGTGCAAGCTCTACCCCTACTCTGTGACTCACGAATGCACTTGAGGTTTGTCCACTCAGGGCACTTTGGAAGGGGTGAGGAAGCTCCATTTTCCACTAGAAGTCTACCCTATTCCACCCTGGCCAGAAAGTTTCCCAGGTGGCTCAGTGATAAATCCAGCTGGCAATGCAGGGGACTCAGGTTCGATCCCTGGCTTGGGAAGTTCCCCTGGAGGAGGAAATGGCAACTTACTCCAATATTCTTGTCTGGAGGATCCCATGGACAGAGAAGTCTAGTGGGCTACAATCCACAGGATTGCAAAGAGTCAGACACAACTGAGCGACTGAGCACACACACAGTAGGACCTGTCTTCCTCATACCCTAGACAATGAGGCTACAACTCCCAGCACTACTCTTTCTCCTGTTACTATTACTACTACCAAACTTAATATTTTCTGAATTCTTATGAAGTGCCAGATACTGTTCTAAGTAGTCTATCTGTATTAACTCATTTAATCCTCACAACTACCCCCATTTTACAGAGAAGACAATGCAGTTAATAATATAATCTGTTTATGTTCATCCGGTTAGTAAAGGGTGGAACCAGCCATTAAAGCCTGGGCATCTCTCTGGGATTGAAAGGCCCATACCATCTCTCTTCTTGTCTTACTCACCTCGCTCTTGCTGTCCAGTTAGATGTCACTCTGCTTTTACCAAATCTGCACAGATTCTTCTACTTTATCCAGACATGTTTTGAACACTTTCCACTCCCCCATGACTGCACATATCCTAAATAATATATTGTTCCAGGCCCTGTGCTAGGAACCGGGGTTACAGATAAGAGAAACACTGAAGTCTACTGGGGAGAACGACACTTAAATGAACATGATGGGAACTCAAAGAAGGGTGTCCTGAGCATGTGGGGCATTAGAGCTGGATTCACAGAGGAGGAGGAGACATTTGAGCTAGTCCTGAGTTTGAGGAAGTGAGCATCAGAAGGGGGTGAGGATATTCCAGCTGGAGGAATGGGGAGTACAGACAAGTGTGCTGGTGTGATGTGCACTATGGGGGAACCAGCGGGGTTTACAATGGAGAGGGCCAGATGTGAGATTGGAAAGGAACATGGGGTTGGTGTGTAAAAGACGTGAAGACCAGTCTATGGTCTGGGGCTTTGTCTTGAGGCACTAGCCTGCGTGAGACCTTCAGGAGTGAAAGACCTGGGACTTCCCTGGCAGTCCCGTGGTTAAGATGCCACACTTCCTCTGCAGGGGGTGCGGTTTTGATCCTAGGGGGAATTAAGATCCCACATGATGCAGGGCATGGCCAAAAAAAAAAAGTGTTCTTCAAATGAGCCATTGTTAAAAAAAAAAAGAAAAAGAATAAAAGACCCTCCTGTTCCCGTGGTGGCTGGTACATAGTAGGTACTTAGTAAATCCAACTGATCGGTTGATAAAGGCATTTGCCAAAACTTCTCCATCGCACCAGACAGTATACTGAGGTTATCTTTGTTGCAAGCCCAGCCTTGCTGAGCAGAGAAAATTCTTTTTCTGCCGTTAACATCCTCCAAGCTGGGACTTCACTCCTTCTGGCTGCAGGGGGTGCTCCTGGCTCTGAGATGTGTTGGGCCAGGAATGTCTGCCAGCCCCCTGGGCTTCTTAGGAAACCTGAGATTCAGGTCAGGCTTCAGTTTCCTGACACAAGTCTAAACCACTTCTGCTACTCTGAAGCCTTCCAAGCCTTTCCTCCCCTTCCCTGATAGCTCACTTCATAGAGAATCCACCTGCAATGCAGGAGACCCCGGTTCGATTCTGGGGTCGGGAAGACCCCCTGGAGAAGGGATAGACTACCCACTCCAGTATTCTTGGGCTTCCCTTGTGGCTCAGCTGGTAAAGAATCCACCTGCAATGCGGGAAACATGGGTTCGATCTCTGGTTTGGGAAGATCCCAAATCTTTGGGAAGATTTGGGAGATCTTCCACTCTCCTAGAATCACAGTATTTCAGAATCTAAAAAGAAAAGTTTCTGCCTACACTATTCAGTTCAGTTCAGTCGCTCAGTCATGTCTGACTGTTTGCAACCCCATGAACCGCAGCGCGCCAGGCCTCCCTGTCCATCACCAACTCCTGGAGTCTACCCAAACTCATGTCCATTGAGTCGGTGATGCCATCCAACCATCTCATCCTCTGTCGCCCCCTTCTCCTCCTGCCTTCAATCTTTCCCAGCGTCAGAGTCTTTTCAAATGAGTCAGCAATTCGCATCAGGTGGCCAAAGTATTGGCGTTTCAGCTTCAACATCAGTCTTTCCAATGAACACCCAGGACTGATCTCCTTTAGGATGGACTGGTTGGATCTCCTTGCAGTCCAAGGGACTCTCAAGTCTTCTCCAGCACCACAGTTCAAAAGCATCAATTCTTTGGCGCTCAGCTTTCTTCACAGTCCAACCCTCACATCCATACATGACCACTGGAAAAACCATAGCCTTGACTAGACGGACCTTTGTTGACAAAGTAATGTCTCTGCTTTTTAATATGCTGTCTAGGTTGGTCATAACTTTCCTTCCAAGGAGTAAGTGTCTTTTAATTTCATGGCTGCAATCACCATCTGCAGTGATTTTGGAGCTCCAAAAAATAAAGTCTGCCACTGTTTCCACTGTTTCCCCATCTATTTTCCATGAAGTGACGGGACCAGATGCCAGGATCTTAGTTTTCTGAATGTTGAGCTTTAAGCCAACTTTTTCACTCTCCTCTTTCACTTTCATCAAGAGGCTTTTTAGTTCCCTTTCACTTTCTGCCATAAGGGTGGTATCATCTGCATATCTGAGGTTATTGCTATTTCTCCTGGCAATCTTGATTCCAGCTTGTGCTTCTTCCAGCCCAGAATTTCTCATGATGTACTCTGCATAAAAGTTAAATAAGCAGGGTGACAATATACAGCCTTGATGTACTCCTTTTCCTATTTGGAACCAGTCTGTTATTCCATGTCCACTTCTAACTGTTGCTTCCTGACCTGCATATAGGATTCTCAAGAGGCAGGTCAGATGGTCTGGTATTCCCGTTGCTTTCAAATTTTCCACAGTTTATTGTGATCCACACAGTCAAAGACTTTGGCATAGTCAAGAAAGCAGAAATAGATGTTTTTCTGGAACTCTTTGCTTTTTCAATGATCCAGCAGATGTTGGCAATTTGATCTCTGGTTCCTCTGCCTTTTCTAAAACCATCTTGAACATCTGGAAGTTCACGGTTCACGTATTGCTGAAGCCTGGCTTGGAGAACTTTGAGCATTACTTTACTAGTGTGTGAAATGAGTGCAATTGTGTGGTAGTTTGAGCATTCTTTGGCATTACTGTCTTTCGGGATTGGAATGAAAACTAATCTTTTCCAGTCCTGTGGCCACTGCTGAGTTTTCCAAATTTGCTGACATATTGTGTGCATCACTTTCACAACATCATCTTTTAGGATTTGAAATAGCTCAACTGGAATTCCATCATCTCCTCCTGCTTTATTCGTAGTGATGTTTCCTAAGGTCCACCTGATTCACATTCCAGGATGTCTGACTCTAGGTGAGTGATCACACCATCATGATTATCTCGGTCGTGAAGATCTTTTTTGTACAGTTCTGTGTATTCTTGCCACCTCTTCTTAATATCTTCTGCTTATGTTAGGTCCACACTATTAACATCCAAGAATATTCAGACTGTAAATTGTGAGAAACTTGAAATTTAAAAACCTGAAATATGGAGTTTAAAAGTTTAAAATTCCTTGTGGCTCAGCTGTATAGTCTATGGGATCTCAAAGAGTTGGACACAACTGAGCTACTTTCACTTTCCCTTTCCAGAGTCAGAG